CCCCAAAACCCCAAAACCCCAAAACCCCAAACTCTAGAACCATGATTGAACTCAACTGCTTTTATCTGATCCCATGTGAGGAAAGAATGGCTATTAGAGTTGTTTACCATTTTCAAATTTTACTTTGATCCTCCTTCCTTGCCTATCAATCAAGTATCCCTTTCCATGTTTCTTGCCTTTATGGAATCGGCCTTCGTACGTTTCACCTTTCTCGAGCGATAAGGTTCCCTCCCCTTCAAACATATCTAAATCTTAATGAATAAGAGTGCATACTGTCTTCGAAGTATCCTGCGTAGAGCTTGCCTGACTTGAAATCGTACCTGCCTCTGCCATGCATCTTACCGTCCTTGTAATGGCCAGTGTACACATCTCCGTTTGCGAACTTCATTGTACCTTTGAATTAAGGAAATAAGAGTACCATCACCATTAAATGTGTTGTTTTTAAAGCTGCCATTGTAACAATCACCGTTTTCGAACTGAAGCTCTCCGATCCCATGCTTTTTATCATTTAACCATTGACCGAAGTATCTATCCTTCGGATCAGTCTTGTATCTGTATGGTTAGCTTGGGTGTTTACACTTCGAACCCCTGTCCATTCATTTTTCCCTCTTCAAAATAGCCTTGTCTGAAGTATGCCTTTGTCACAAGCTTTCCGTATCCAGAATAAATGCCTATGTACGATGAATGACTTATTTACCATTTTCAAAATCACCTATGGCCTAGTTGGGAGTGAGCTTACCTTGATACATATCACCATTTTTCTAGATGAGATTACTTAGGAGCTTACAAAAATGAGTCTTCCTTTACCATGAGGCTTGTTGTTTAGGAGAAATCCCTCGTACAAATCTATGGTTACTCTATTGTATTACTTTTTCCATCTTCGATGTAGACACCTCTTCCTCACCTGATCTCACCCTGGGCTTGTCCAAAGTACCTACAGAGATGGCCTATAGAGCTTACGTATCATCCTTAACAACTTTATATCCAATTGCAGTCTTTTTAGCACCCTTATCCTGGGTTTTCACTTTAAAAGGGCCAACTTTGTCTAGTTTGTTAAGCACTTTCTGAGATCTAAGGGTGAATAGAGTGGTTACTTTAGATTTTCTATAGCCCAATCATAAACTTCAGGTTTGAACAAGTCTTTAACGTAACCCTTCCTTGCGAATGAAGGCTTAGTCTCGATTCCACCGAAATCTGAATCTATATGGGTGTTAAGTAAGATTATAATGCATTCATAGTCTTTATGAGCCATTTTAGGCTCTTAGAAGAAGCAATTTCTCAAAGGTTACCTTCGTATTCAGAGCCTGAGAATTCAGAGTAGAGATCTTCACATTCATATTCTGGAGGTGCCCAATCGCTTGAATCCTCATTCTTTTCTGAGACTATTCAAAAGTTAAGCATGCCCTAGAAAAGAGATAAGGGTGTTAAGCAAGTCCTAATTTGGTAATATTTGGGGAAGGATTTCTAGTTTTCAGGAGATGAATGTCTATCAAATTCGATATTTAAGCAATAAGTTAGTTTAAAATTGCCAATATGACTTCTCAAGAGTCAAGCTCACTCTTTTCTGATAGTTCTGTAGGAGATCTTTGCACTTCTTTATCTGTGCAACATAGTGAACCCATATTGTGCTAAATATATTTTTATTTCAATTAATAAACTCAGCTGGGGTTTTGGGGTTTTGGGGTTTTGGGG